TCAAGTGACATGAGCAGTAAATTGGTAAAAATAATGTTAGAGGTTAAATATTTATAAACATAATTTACTAAAAATGAATCAATATTAAATGCATCTTTATAACCGCTAAAATTATTCTTACCAATTTATTGTTCCGTACATCATCCAAGATAGAAGGAATATTGCAAAGTTCATATTTCGCGCCCATTAGCAAACTGACAAAATATTACAGGATATTTATTTTCCAACAATCGGCGGGCCCGAGTCAGTTTGTGCGGATCTACTCAGGTCACTTGCAATGTCAAGGTCATCTATGGCCGACAAGTGAGTATGATTGCCGATGATTTTGGAGAAAATGCCTGCTTACTGTCGAGGAAATGATATGTAGATGTTGCAATCAGTTTTTAGACCCGTGGAATATGACCACCGGTCGAATCCAGCGCAATATAGGTGCTGTCAACGTGGTTGGAATTAATAAACGAATTTAAAAGGTGAGTTTTTGCTGTCTTGGCTGATCCATGATTTTGGCTTGGAATTGTGGAGGTAGATGTTTTCGGTGAGTTCTGGCGTATAACTTTTGAAATAATTATCCGATTGTGACCATTTATAGCTCATTTGGTAGGGAAATCATCTAGCTTTCGATTCGTAGGCCTCGGCGGGGCCTTAAAAACTATTTTACGTTGTGAAATCTAACTTTGATTGAGGACAGGGTGGTTTCGTCGTTACATCCCTGTTTCTAAGCGAGACACGCCCCTATGGTTAAGACGTCGGCGTACTGTATCAGTACTGATTGGTCTTCGGTGTGTTCCCACTGTCTGGCGTGCTGTTTCGGATGCCTGCATGAAGGGATTCTGTACATGCTGTCGAACAACATGTCTTGTCGTCTTGGGGCGGTGGGGTAGCCTAATGGTTAAAGCGTTGGCTCGTCACGCCGAAGACCCGGGTTCGAATCCCCACATGGGTACAATGTGTGAAGCCCATTTCTGGTGTCCCCCGCCGTGATGTTGCTGGAATATTGCTAAAAGCGGCGTAAAATCAAACTCAGTCAGTCAGTCTTGTCGTCTTGTGGTCACCCTTGGTCTGCCAGTACGGGGGCGATCATTTGTGGTGCTGGTGGCCCGGAAACGTTGCTGCAGCCTGTAGATGGTCCGAACGTTGACCTGGAAGTGATTGGCAACGGCTTGTGCAGTGTGGCCAGCTTCAAGTCTTCCTAGCGCCTGGTTCCTCTGAGCTGTCGTGAGTCTCGGCATCCTAGCTGCTGACGTTGTAATGTAAATTTTCAACCAGGTTTGGAGGTGCATTTTTTAGGGCAGGTCCTTGTGAACAGCACGTGCAGCATGACTTGCATGAAAAACAAGAGAACACCGTACCATCTCCGAGATCAGGATGCGTTTTTGAGACCATTTTTGGGTTCAATTCTGAGTTTGGGAAGGAATGTCCTTGTTCAGGTAAAGTTAGAGACGTTGTCAAAAATATACAATCAAAACATTAAATGAGTTTACAGTTATCCGTTTCTGTGAAAGAAAATTCCAAACTGACGTTTCTTTTGCTGCTTAGTATAGTTCAGCGTTATAGTCGAACACACGATCCGCCTATTCTGTTATGAGCCTATTAAGGACACAGTTATCCGTTAGTGGGCGTTTATTGGCTTATAGAAACAAACTGCAATGGAATTCCTTGCAATTTATTGAAGTACTTTGTTGATATCGGAGCATGTCCTTTTTTAAGTACATATATCCAACGGTAAATGCCGACCATTCGTCAGAGCCAACGAGGAGAGTATGTGGATATGTACATCCCTTAAGTGCATCGGGGTGACAGATCGGGGACTGCGCCATCTACCGGAACATATAAGACGCATCCTGTAGCTGTGGGGCGAGATTAAAATATCACTTGTATGTGTCTTTCATCAGATGTCTGTGAAGTACCATCTCCTGGACATTCTTGAAACACTCACAGAGCTTAGTCGACATGGATGTGCATCACATCCCATTGCAACAACTCCAGATAATATTTGCGCATATCGTTTCGTTGTTAGGATTCGCATTATTCTGTTAAACACTTGGGGCTCCGCGGAATCAATGCGGTTACAGGGAGGTGTGGATCTTCTTGTTAACGACGGATTCCGTCTACACAGAGAACATTGACAGTCGTTGTTCCTGAGTACGGAGACGAAAGGTCACAGTGTTCCGTATTGGTCATCCTTTGTAGAGCCATACATGGATAATGATAGGGACTCAAGTGTTTGTACCCATGTACGAGATGGTTGTTTGTTTGTTTGTTTCCTTTGTTTTGTTTTACGACCAACTATTACAGATATGTAATTGAGGAATAATCGAGTCTGGGCCACACAAACCAGTGATTGACATTAAGAGCAAGGATCCATGTCGTCATGGTGTGCAGCCCTGTGTCTGACCACTCATCCATTCAGACGCTTCTTACGAGTTTATGTTTCGGGGCCAATTGTAACCCACGATCCTTTGTGAGGGTCGCTAAAGGAAATAGTCATTGTTTGTAATATATGTAGTCTATAGCTCACGGTATATTCAGAGTAAGTGAGCGAGAGGAGTTTGACGCGTGCAGCAACGGTCCTCCTCGATCGTGCGGAACACGCAATAAGCGCTACAATTACTCACGTGACAAAACTCGGACCGCCGGCGTGACGAGCGAGCACATTCACCACAACGGAGGAACCCAGTGATGATCAACTATATCCAGTCCAACGGAAGATATTTACAATACCAAGCAAACCGCTAAAAGTACGTCTTATATGCATGTTAACATGATCTAATAGTTGAGCTGAGTTGAGTTTTACGTCACATCGGCATTATTCCAGCCATATAGTGACGAGATCAAGTCTGAAATAATACGCATTTTAAGTACAAAGTCCAAATGAGTTTTATTTTAAAAGCACATATATTCATTACACTGTCATTCAAAAACAGAAAATGTCAGAGCATTAAATTCAAAAGCACGCAATACGTTATTCCCATTACATAGTTACAATAACAGATCAACTTCCCCACATGATCTAATATGTCAATCCAGGTATTCATACCTTTAAGTAACAGGTACCAGGAATCAAATGATAAGAAGTAAAGGACTTCTATCGCATTCCGGTATCTAGTTTTTTCTTTAGTTTCTACTGGGCATATTATTATCTTACTGGACTGTTCCGTCTTTAATGTAAGTAGATTTAATCAGCGCTTCCTGTAAGAAAGGTGATGTGTTTGGTAACTAGGAGGTATATTAGTCTGACTCACAGTCCGTGAACCACATTATTCGGATTAACGTGGTTTGACTGTATCTTGGTGGGGATAAACATCTCAATCTAGGTATTTACCTGTATTTTTGATCTGACCGTTATAAACATCAGCCTGTAAAACAGTGTACATATAGGAAATATATTACAATTCTGCAGATGCTGGTGAAAGAGATCGAGTGTTTTCTAGGGCTGCAGGGTTGCCTCGCCCACATCATCATCACCTTTCATGTCTTTAGTCGTCCTTCTACTCATCTCGTTCATTCCTGCAGGTGCAAATATTGTACTTTTTTTCACTCTCCCCAGTCTGTATAACCTCTGTAAAGTAAGGGTTGTGGCAATACCACGAGTCTTTCCTAAACACAGGAGAATGTGTCAATCTTGTCAGACACTTCAACAAAGCGTTTCCAGAGATCCTGGGGACCTGTCGAGCTGCATGGTGGTACACCTGAATGTGAGACACGCCAGTGTAAGTGTGAGACCGCGTGTGCTGTTGCTACCTAGATCCCCGTCACAGTGTCCCTGTATGTTGCACCGCTTCATCCACAGGAAACAGAGACGCGCCTACTAGCATCAGAACCTCGCGAACCAGATGACCCTCAACTGTATTATCACGAGGTTAGAGAACATATACCTGTGACACTACATTGTAAATCTTCGAGGTTTTTTAATATGAATGAGTGACATTTCACCTTTTATTTTGTTTCAATATGAGACAATGAGCCAAAGACATGGTGTCCGCAATCATACATTAATATCAGTATGCACCCCTCAATATGAATATCAGTCTGCTTAGTGTTGTATTTTCTTAAAAGTGAAGAATACGGCGATACTTTGTCCAGTTTGACATTTTATGTCTTGCGAAACTCACAGATACAGCTGTCATTGTATTTCGAATATGAAACAAATTCTTACAATTAAGCTTAGTTTAGGTTTAAGGGCTCCACAGATGTTGCCTGTATTTAAGTGAGTGAGTGAGTTGGGTTTTACGACGCTTTTAGCAATATTTCAGCACTATCACGACGGGGGACACCAGAAATGGGCTTCACACGTTGTACGCTTGTATTTAAGAGTTGAAGACTCTCAAAACATGTTCTCGTATAATATATATCGTCCTAATATATAACAGACAACTTTTCAGTTGTATTATAAAAACAAACAAAACAAAACAAAACCGAAACAAAACAATTTTTACACGAGTCATAAAAGGTATAAAGGAGATTTTCTAAAATAAGGCCCTTGTACTGTTTGACTGTTGGGTCTCGGTGATAGGCCCTTGTACTGTTTGGCTGTTGGGTCTCGGTGATTGTGTCCATGTTTATTTTGATTTGTTGGGTATATTATGACAATATATTGTTATGCCATATCATCGGGGCAGGTAGTTGATCTAGTCAGGGCCGACAAACCAGAGGACGATATTATGAGCACTGTGCCATGTCGTCGGAGTAGGATAAAATGCTGTCAGTGAGCCTGAGCGGACGATCTGTCATCGACGATATTATTTGGCAGTTACATTGCAGCGTCCTCGAGTGCATTCAGCAACAGACCTCTCGATAATTACTTTTAATTATTGATACTTATGAATGCATTTTCTGAAAGACACAATGAAGAAAGACAATCAGCTTAATATATGCAGATACTTTTGGTTCCTTCCCGGTCCCGGAATGTACCGAGCGGACCCGAGTAATGCGATTGGGTCAGGAGCGCCACGTCACACAAGGTAAGTGCATGACGTCACAGACAGGAACAATGCCTATGACGTCATAGAATGGGCCATGACGAGACTCTGAAGTTTCGCCGCAGTCGATAGCTACACGTTGTTGTGCGCTGTTGTGTACTTACATTCAGAGCGTCATCAACGATACAAAGTAAAACTTTCAGTGTCAAGATATATCAAGGTATGTGGTTCCCCCAAAATGTTTTACTGCTGTACTTGCAGTGTACAGAATTAACGTGAATAATTACCATAGAATTATTGTTGACATTTAAAATGAATGAAAGGTCGTAGAAATTAACTGTGACCCAAATCGTTTCAAGAACACACTTTCGTTCCTGGTATTGACATGAGATCATCTTCACAGAATAATGTCACGAAGGACGAAGCAGCCAACAGAAGGGAGAAATGATTTGCTCGGCCAAGACATCTGCAGACAGAAATGGCCTCGTGATCGCTTGCCCCCGAGAAGGAGGCAGTGTAAGTTGCAGGGATTGGGAAAGGCAGGGGCCCTGGGCCATTTTGCACTTTAGAATAAAAAAATGGCCCATTCTAAATTCAGAAAATGGCTAATAATCCTGAAAATGGCCCATTGTCAAAGTTTTCTATCCCAATCCCTGAAGTTGACATGTGGGAAACGCATTTCATGATTAAAACTAAATGCTTTTAAAAATAGGTTTGTGTGATGAAGGAAATTACAATACTTTCCAGTGGAAGTTTCGTGGACTGCAACAAATAGTCCAAATGGAATGTACATAGTACAATATCCTTTAATCTTGTCTGAGACAAGATGATCTTGTTTTAGTCTGAACGTATCAAATTGTGTGTTCTATCTTTAGTCATTCTACTTTTCAGATGATCAGTTCCAAGAATTCAAATCTGATTCGAAGGGCAACCAAGTGAGGTACATAACATATTCTATATGTCTCTGTATAATAACCTTGACGTGTATCGCTTAATACACTTTCTTCATCAGTGTGTATGTTATCAGTATATTTGTTATAATTCAGCGACAATCGAAATTAAATCGAAACTGATTGCCAGTTGTGTCCTCATAGATGCTGGTTCATTTTGTGGAAACTGACAAAGAAACATTTAATGTGCACACAAATGCAGACTGCAGCGTGCATTTTCCTTGTAGGGTGTTGGAGAGACTGCCTATAGAATACTACCAACTCAGTAAGACCAGTCGGGACAAGATTCTGACGCATCGCCAGGAAACAATGCGAAGACGGAAGCCTGGTGGACACAGTAGAGATGGGGACTGCAACAGGATGGACTGGTTCAGCGACGTGATAGCCGATCTAACGGAAGACCGCCCAGTCCCACAGTACCTAACTAGGTATCAAGATCGTCTGAAGAGACATCTGGAAGAACAGAGGCAAACCATAGAGGAACTGGAGAGGAAGAAAGAGGAAGAGCTAAGGAAGGTTCAGCTTGTTCAAAAGAAACACAGTGTTGCCAGGCAACAGAGGGCGGTGTGTCCAGCTGTCAGCCATCACAGGAAGGAGATTGTGTTCAAGTCGAAGAGAGCGCCTGTAGTCATCCCCTCAGCGGAACCTCCAACAAGAGCTCGTCAGGTCTACAAGGCAAAGAAACCTGCACCGATCACACTTCCAGTGATTTCCACAGGGTCGGGTATTTCCAATGGTGAACATGTCTGGGCAATGGGGGCGTCTGAGGTTGAGATACACCTGAGCGGACAACGTCTCGGTTCCAAGACGGTTCTCCCTCCAATACATAAAAAGAACTCAAGACAGAGAAAGCTATAAGAGAAGAAACGCAGGGGCTGAGGACTGAATTCTTCCGAGCGTGGAGTACAGGTCTGTGGAATGCAGGCCTGTGGAAGGCAGGTCTGTGGAAGGCAGGTCTGTGGAGTGCAGGTCTGTGGAAGGCAGGTCTGTGCGATAGCCCCTCTGTGTGCTAACTGAATGCATGATGTGGACATCAACCCTCTCCCTACAGATACCATTGAAAGTTGCCATTACAGACAATAATTCGTTGCAATTTCAAAACCATGATTAAGTGTAATATAGAGCCTCTAAAAACATTTGTAAACCAATTTGCGAAATAAAATGTTAAGTATACTGTAATGACAGTTATTTTCCCGCAAACATTATAATAATCAAGGAAAAATTGGGATTCGAAACTAGGAACAAAGGGATCATGTCGCTCTTAACGTACTGGTTACGAAGGTTAAAGACAACTGATCCACCCGGCTTCCCATACCAGTATTTCATTTTCACTAACTCTATGGACAGGACGGACTAAAGCTACATTGTTCGACCAGGCCTTTAGACAGGTAAAATCTGTCGCCTCACTAACAAGACACTAGAGCTTCAAATACACTAAGTGAGGTGAGGCGAAATTGGGTTTAACGTCGTGCTTGAGAATATTTCGCTCATATGACGACGTGCATGCGTGTGTATGTGTATGTGCGGCTGCTTGTACTAGCCCAGACAGAAGCTGTTTTATAGTGCTAGCTCACTGAGATACCATGCCGCAGTTAAGCATGAATACCCTACTCAGACACATTATACTGACTCCGAGCCGACCAGTCCTTGTTGTACCCGTTAATGCCGAGCGCCAGGCAGGGACCAACAAGTACCATATTTTAACGTCTTTTGGTATGATGCGGTCGGGGCTCTCCGGGCGGACGCTCTAACCACTACACCACGGAGGCGGTCAAATACACTACGTAATGTTCTTGGAGTGAGCATTTCAGCGTGCCCTTAGATGATTGTTTAACCACAGCTTCAGACCTACATGTAGCCTCAGCAATAAAAATATCGTATCCATAAATATTTTTCTGTACTATTTTTAGTGTCAAAGGTTTTTGTGAGATCTTAATGAAATCAAATTGTTGTAGAGGCAGATGGTGACAGGTGTTTAATGAGCAATCTTTTGTGATAGTTGAAGTAACATAATACTTTAGGTATTCAAGCCTTTCGGATATCACTTGAAGGCCACTTTCAAGACGTTGGAGTGTTGAGAGTTTGAGATACACCTGAGCGGACAACGTCTCGGTTCCAAGACGGTTCTCCCTCCAATACATAAAAAGAACTCAAGACAGAGAAATTTATAAGAGAAGACCCGGCGATAATATTGCTATGAGCTGCGTAAAAGTATACTCACTTTCTCAGGTTACATACTTCAAAAGGAGCCAAGAGACCATGAGAGAAGTAGCGTCCTATGAGTTTCACTACTCGAGTATTATCAAAACAGTCTTCCCACCTACATTTATATCCATAAGATCTTCAGTGGTGAGGTAGAATATAAAATCAACCTTCGCAAGTGAAGTCATATCAACTGGATCTTCCCAAATGAAGAACTAGCCACAGAATCATCCCAACCTAAGCAGTAACCACAGAATCTTCTCAAATGAAGTCTGAAGACCTAGCAACAGGATTCATCCCCAGTGAAGTAACAACCACAGGATCTTACCCAGTGAATTAGGATCCACAGGAACTTCCATGGGTGAAGTAGTATACACATTCACCAGTCGCTGTGGCCACCTGGTCTGGGTTATAGGCCAGGGTTCTGTTCCACAAAGTGATCGAACTCCCATACTTTAAAACAACTTACAACTGTCATAGCGCTACAATCACTTTGAGGAATGGGGCCCTGAATGTCTAAATAGACAATATTCTTCCCATACATCACAAACACATTCTGGTGTCAATCATACAAAACAAGATAGTATATAATAAATATTTATTTATATGGTAATACCTCCCAGATATTCTACAACAAGCTGTAACGTAGATAAACATACTGATGGCAGTCGTAAGGAGATACTTTGATTTCCTAATGCATTACAATATTGCCAAGATGACAAATGCTGAAACATATTCCAGAATCTTGTTTCATATGACGATCCTGGAATGATCCCCCGTGCAAAATATGGGACCAGAAATTTCATGATTCCCATGTCAGGGCTAAGACCCTCTGTTGAAGTGGCAGATCCCCTGCAAAATACGGATTTATGATCATCTTAGGGCGTCTGTTGAAGTGGCAGATGTCAGAGATGTCAGAACTTCAGACATTTTCAAACTACTGACAATAATCTTTGTTGATGGTGAAGCAGCATTAGCCATTCTTCCATGTTCCTTGTTGAAAAATGTACCAGGAAGTACAACCTAGATCAACACTTCAAATAAGACCTCACATAGAGCTCTTCTTGTATTCTTCCAGTTCATCTACAGGAGACATGAACACTTCACATGCCTAACCATTCACACCTTCAGACCTTACATTTTACTATGCAAGGGATGACCCACATGTCCAGTTGACTGTTCAGGCATCAAATCTTGTGATGATACCTTCACTTTTGTGATCATTCTGACTCAAGACATTTCTGCTCAACGCTGACTTGTTGTTCAATGTAGCCGGTGAAAACAGACTAGAGCAGACAATCAAGTGAGTAATATTGTGAGTATAATGACACTGGATGGAACAAGGCATTGATTCTGACCCAGTCCATGGAGGAGTCTCTTACAAGACCATATTCTACCTAGACCATTCACAGTAGCAATCAGACCCTTCCTCTATAATGAGACATCAGTTGATCCTCGTGTGCACAGGTTCAAGTGATGGAGAATGCTCCACTGCCCAGCAGCAGGTTGCGTCGAGTGAAGTGGAGGAGCAGCACCGGTGTGCTCTTTGTCTTGTAGGTGGTTATCAGTAGGTTAGGGCTGTCATTGCTGAAACAATAAGAGAGAGTGAGTGAGTGACTGTGTGGGCCCTCATTGCTTTCAGTAATACTCTATCAATATCATAGCAGGTGATGACATGATGGGGCTTCACACATTGTTCCCATGAGAAGAATCTGATGTTTTTTCAAGGTGACTACCGAACTCTTTGGTCACTTGCTCACCCCACTATCCTGAAAGTTTTATACTCAGGGCTTAGACATCCCTGCAGCAACAAGGTTTGGTTTGGTTTGACAGTAACTTGGTCCCAATACTGAATATTCATTTGGTGATTAGGTCATTAACATTGACCTGTGCTCACATACAACACATTAAACTGTATTTATCGAGGTTAAACATTTGTCAAAGTAATCAGACCTTGAGGCTCACTTTAGTTCTATAAATAATTGAAGTGAATGTGAACATGATTTCTTTACACTTGTAACTTGTTTCAAATCTGCCTTATTTTTTGTGGGGACTGTCACAGTTGATGAAATAATCTATTATAACTTAAACATGTTGCACAGCTAAGAGGACAAGTAAATTCAATTCTATTCACAAAGTAATGTGTGTATATATGTATAGATATTCTATATGGTTAAACTGATACTGTTGCAGTAAGACGTACACATGCAATGTGCTTGGAATGTTAGCATCTGAGTCAGAGTCCAGCTCCTCGTAGATCTTCTTGATGTCCCATATTCGTACAGTATTGTCCAAACCACCTGAAAATAACATCATCATGTTACCATGGAACTTTCCGAATCTGGCCCAGAATACCAACAGGAGCACCTTAGTGGGAAGAGAAAGTGTGTTTAATGTCAAAAACTGTTACTGTGCATAATATGATGAATTTATATGTTGTGTTCAATGTTGAAACTAACATAAATTTTGTCTGATACAATACATTCTGTGAGGACAAATGATATTTCCTTCTGGATAACCACGTTTATCATTCGAAAGATGGCAAAACAAAGACAGATCATGTTTGTTCTACGGAGCTATGGCTGCCAGTGCTCTGAACAATGCAAAACAAAGACCCAGGTTAGAGTTGGTCTTCAGCAATCAATGATTGTTGTATGAAGTAAATTTCAGGGCTGACTAAAAACTATTGATAATCAGAAATATAACCAATTTGGAAAAAATATCAATGATTATAGATATGAAAATATAATATTGTACATAGACTATTGTGATGAAATAAAGTTTTTATCTACTTAGACAATACACATACTAGTTCTTTATTCATGATTCATGAGCTGCTTAATATGTTAAGCAGGGTGTTGTGTTAATAATCAAAGCCTAAATATGTAGCCACTCTCCATTTCTTTCAGATGGGGGGGGGGGGGAGCATTTTGTTATACTTCTCCAATGTTTATTGACAATGTTCAGTTACAATCTATATCAATAGCCAGTGCTAGTATATATGCTTGTCTTAAGCACCAACTAACAGGATCAGTCTGTCAGGTTTACTTAATTAGTTGATGCATGTCATTGTATCCCAAATGCGTAGCTTGGTGCTCATGATGTCACTCACTTGACTGTCTAGTCCAAACCCAATTATGTACAGACAAAAGTGCAGGTTACAATGTCAAACAACAAACAAACTCAACAATGCAAACAACAGTAGCAGGCAGGGAAGTTCCTGATACAGGACATTTCCTGCATGACTGACCTGATGAGAGGATGCCCCGTCCCGACTGAAGCAGAGACAGTACACAGTGTCCGTGTGCCCCTTCATCTGTGCCAGCATGGTGCCACTAGCCAGCTCCCACAGTATCACCACCTGGTCCACACCTACAACACAACATGCAGAAGGCCAGGTGTAATCACCCACTGAGTAGGTCCAATAACCTTCCAATCAGTATGTCAACGCCATTCTCCTCATGTGGGACGACACATGAAATTTGTAAGATTGCAATGTTGGGCATGGTTGCTTCACAATAACGCTTAAAATGAAGGAAGCATCAAGCCGCATAACAAGCAAGAACAGATTTGGTAACAAGCTATAGTCAGAAAATGCAGAAGTTTACCAAAAAGGACTTTTGCTGTAACTTTGGCCTACCTGATGAAGCGACAGTACGACCATCTGGAGAGAAAGAAAGGCAATGCACTGCTCCCTGGAAGAAGGAAACAGTAGTGAGTGAGTGAATATAGTTTAATACACCACTTTTAGCCATATTCCAGCAATATCACAGGCTTCACACATTATACCCATGTGGGGAATCGAACCCGGGTCTTTGGCATGAGGAGCAAACTCTTTAACCACTAGGCTACCCCACCGCCCCGAAACAGAGAGCATGGGAACTTGTAAACTCAAACCTTTCATATGTGCACTATGAATTAATGTAGTACTGATAGTAAATTAACACAGGTAAAGGTGCTGCACACTCCTACATGCTGAGTTAAGTCTCCCACCTGAAAAGAACATCAAAACAGCAAACATTTTCTAAACTATATTCTGTGATGCTTTAGCAAGTCAACAGTAATAAATTAGAATTTGACCTCCATTAAGCATACCTTATGTCCTGACATGACTCGCACACAGTTTCCATTCTGCACATCCCAGAGTCTCACCATCTTGTCGCTGCTGCCTGTGGCAACGTAGTTGGAGTTGGGGTGAAACTGGATACTCTGTAATCACAGGTGGATAAGTGAGGGAATGTGTTATCAATAATACACCTATAGCAAGCTGGCCTATACTTCATTAAGGTTTGGTTGCCAGTGGAAGACAACTTTAGACAACTACTGGGTACTGGGGACCAACTTGATATTGGAACTAACATAGTGGAACTTCTGCAGTCAGGAGTCAAGCTTACTTAAAGTGAGTGAGTGAGCGAGAATGGTCTTAAGCCGCTTTTAGCAATATTCCAGCAATATCACTGCAGGGAACACCAGAAATGGGCTTCACATTGTGTACCCACATGGGGAATCAAACCCGGGTCTTTGGCGTGATGAGCAAACGCTTTAACCACTAGGCTACACCACCGTGCCGCTTATGTAAAGAAATTGCCAGCTAACAAAGTATGCATAGCACAACTTGCATATGCCCGATATAGTGACTTGAACAGAATGAAAAATATATTCATGGAGTGAACTATTGCAGACCAAGTGTTTATGAGGTCAGTTATGTAACTAGATATTAAAATAACACATGGGGAAACAATTATGTCAACAGTCAGCAGGGCTCCAGATAACTTTGGGGGATGTGGGTGTACTTACACCTCATATGCAAGTGGAGGTGTACTGAGAATTTTGAAGGAGTACTGACATATTTTTGTTTGGTTTGTTATTTATAATATAAAACAATTTTTCAGCAATTAAACTTCATATATGTTAGATGTACAAAGGTATTTATGTGCGTACATGATACACTTGAAATCTTATATTATGTTGTACTTTAATTGATTTTTAGGCGTACATTATGCCTGTATGCCCCTTATCTGTAGCCCTGGTCAGTGTTTGAACAAAGGAGGGTCGTTGGGGTTTATGGTTAATGACAATGACACCTTTATATTACAGTGATGCACCAATGTTACCAATTGGACATTCTTCACTATGAAATGAAATTGTTTTGATCAAGATTTGTCTAAAACCAATGAAAATCAGAAATTTTGAAGCTTTGCCCAGAATGATTGATTCTATTATCCATAACAGATGTGCAAAATATGATCGGTGCCATTTTAGAATGCCATCTGTAATATCACTATGACTCCATGACCTTAGCTCATCGCTGCCTGTTCAAGCACTCATATTAATTGCTTATAATCAACAAAGATGATCTTACATCCACATCAGAGAGATGACCTGCAAATACCCTGAGAGGCTGGTAGTGATCAGTTGACCACAGTCTGGCTGTCCGGTCATGTCCACACGACACAAAGTAGTGCCCATGAGGACTGGAAATCAAGATACAACACTGTCAGACAAAACACAATGAAAGAAGCATAAAGGATCTGTTATAACTAGGCTCACTGTTGACTTGCAGGATGACATTAGTACACCTAAAACTGTATATGGGCTCTTTTGTGTGTGTGTGTGTGTGTGTGTGTGTGTGTGTGTGTGTGTGCGTGCGTGCGTGTGTGTGTGCGCTTTAATCTGCACTAAGCAATATTTTAGCAATTTGACAATGGTCTGTGTGGTCCAGACAATCCAGTGATTGATAATATGAACAACATTTCCCTCTGAAGGGGTACTAGGCACACCATCAGTTACCAAGTCTCATCACTCAGTTTATAAAGTCTAATGTTATGAGCAGCAAAGGGTGTTGAGGACAACTATAACATGTAATATAGTTAGGTCCAGACTTAGCACTAACTAGACGTATTTGATGTGCTTGTAGTTAACCAAAATATGAGTTGATGTTCTACCTAAACTTCACATCCCAGACAGGGTAGTTGTGGCCCTTGTAACACACCAGGTTGGTCCACGTCTGTAAGCTCCACAGACGAACTGGAATTGGAAGTGAAAACAAAGTTCAGTTTATGGAAAACAATCATGGTTCAAGTATAACATGTCACATATATATTTCAGAAGATGGCAACTCCTACTTTGCTGCAGGTAATTGACATCATAGCATTGATGTTGGCAATTGGGACACGAGGTCGAGCTCAACACAAAATTGCTTTCACATGGACAGTAAGTATGAAGTAACTTCAGGCAAATTACAAAATAAGATTCCAAGAACAGGGTGTAGTAAGTAGCAGACCAGCAGACATAATAACAAAGAGAAGCAATGGACACAAATTTGGAAACAAACTGAATCTACATAATAAACTTTGAAGTACAGGAGCTGTGTGGGATTTCAGTACTTGTCTTACTTCCTGGAAGTTCCTGCTGCCATCAGTGGCAAGTGTCTGCTAGCATAGTTAGTAGTGGCTGGTGATACTTACTGGTTCCATCAGCAGAGGCGGAGACCAGGTTGTGTTTGTCTGGGCTGAAGCTGACCGAGTACACTGGGCCATTGTGACCACAGAGGGTCTTGATCTCTGTCGCTGACCGCTCGTCCATCATACGTTCCAGTACATCATCTGTACAGACACACAGCGTTGTCACACAAGACTTCAAAGTCAACATTCATTTAACCAGAAACCTATCCACCATGTTTGTCAGATTCTGCTTGTCGTAGTTGAAGTTTGGCTATAACCTTCATCTGATCAAACTGACTAAACCTCAGACATTAAGGCTATTAGTTTTTTAAAAATACATCAACATCCTCTGAAGATGAGGAGAGAATTTCAACAATGACTGATGATTTTTGTACATTTTGGATATGACAATGGCATTTATCTAAACCACTGCAAACCAAAAGGGAAAAAAATCACAAGTCACTGATATCAACCCTCTTTTTAATACATTGTGTGCACTAAGCAATATTTTCAATACATTATGGCTACCTGAAAGAGTCTGGGAAGTCAATCTACTGAGTGAGCATAGTTTCAGGGCAAACTGTCACACAATGAACCAGGTCACTGAGTTGGACCACCAAATTCATATGTTTGCCTCTTACAACAAGCAGAGATGACTGCCAATTCCCAGAGTAAAGCATGATGTATAACAGATGTAAATATGTTTCATCAATACATATTGCACTTTACAAGAGACATAGCATTGTATAAAATTCTACCTTAATTTGACGTCTAATTTGTTTCTTTGGAAATACACAAATAATCATTCAGGAACATTTTGGATAACAAATGGCATCAATCTAGCATGTGTGTACAGAAGGTTTACTAAGAAATATGAACAGTTTACAAGTTAAGCTCCGGATATGAACATGATGAACAGAATGAAAGCCTGTTTGTAGACCATCTAGAAACCTTCATTTTGGCAGTGGGTTATAAAGCAGGACAGTTAAAAACAGCTGCTATTAAACATTACTAAGGAAAAACCATTACTATGGAAGGTGCTGATGTACAAAAAGACAGCAGGAGAAGAGGGAGAATAACAATCTTGCAATCATGATTATTAAATCATTGCTATTATAAATCGATCCTTGACTTACAGAGTGTTCAGTGGCATTAGATAATTCCATGAATCACATACAAACACATTTAGTCAGGTGACCTTGAATCAATACCAGCACTACAAATGTCTTACACAAGTCTTCTGTCCATTGTCCATTTACTATCCACTTATGTCGTATACACTGTCAAACAATACTACATCACACTGGATTTCATGTTCTCAACATGTCTAGGAGCCAAACCAGACAGATTTCAACTTAATCTAAACAAGTCAACTCCCAACTTACCAGCCTCCTTGTCTATGATCTCGAGTTCCGTTGGAGACTTGAGAGAGCGGAGTCTGTCAGGAGTGATGGACCAGACACGGATGAAGGAATCATTGAATCCCACACTGATGAGACTGGAGTCTTCCGACACCTCAATGCACGTCACGCTGCACAACACAAAGATGGACAAGCATACACAGGCTGTACACTGACTGGGATCCTGTCTACCTATATGAGTTGTCTATAGTAGAAAAATACTGGCCAATTTCTATAAGATGAGACTGGAGTCTTCCGACACCTCAATGCAGGTCACGCTGCACAACACAAAGATGGACAAGCATACACAGGCTGTACACTGACTGGGATCCTGTCTACCTATGTCAGTTGTCTATAGTAGAAAAATACTGGCTGATTTCTATAAGATGAGACTGGACAACAAAACATTCAAGTGTTGGGTAAACCCTCAATTTTGCCATGTAGATCAGCTTTCTACTGTACAACAAACAGTTACATGTAGATATGTCTCAGTGTCTATTTCTATTGTACAGTTACTGGGATCCTGTCTACCTATATGAGTTGTCTATAGTAGGACCAGTTCAACTTACAAACAACATGATTATTACACACTGGGACATGCCTGAAGTGACGCAGCTGAATTGAATTTCTTAAGAGAATTGTTCAACCATATGGACACAGTACTGGTCATTATCGGAACCGATGTGTATCAGACATATGTTATAATACCCAATAAGTAACATTCAAATCCAACCTATCATTCAAACACCTTGTGTTGTACATTCGGTGCTCGAACTAACATAATCAGAACTGTGATGAGAGGATTTCAGTGTGTTATTAGTAGCCAATGCTGCTGACACAAAACGACATATTCTCATTTAAATGGAAGGTGTTGACCCATACAGTAAAATCTGATGTTATTACGAACATATTTGAGAATACATAAACAACAAATAATCATGAGAGTGTATAATGTTTGCCTAGATATTTGATGTGGTTGTACATGGTAATCAGTTTGTATATGTCTGGTACTGCTATGTGTAACCAATGTCAGATCACAAAGCAGCACTGGAGGTGAGGTGAGGTGAAATTGGGTTTAACGTCGTGCTTGAGAATATTTCGCTCATATGATGACGTGCATGCGTGTGTATGTGTAGGTGCGGCTGCTTGTACTAGCCCAGACTGAAGCTGGTTTTATAGTGCTAGCCCACTGAGATACCATGCCGCAGTGAAGCATGAATACCCCACTCAGACACATTATACTGACTCCGAGCCGACCAGTCCTTGTTGTACCCTTTAATGCTGAGCGCCAGGCAGGGACCAACAAGTACCATATTTAAACGTCTTTTGGTATGACGCGGTCGGGGATTGAACCCGCGACCTTCCGCTCTCCGGGCGGACGCTCTAACCACTACACCACGGAGGCGGTCAGCAGCACTGGAAGGAAGATCAGCCTTGTCTGTAAAATTATACTTGGTTGACTTAATGAGCAATGATCCTACACTGTGTAGGCACGATGACATGCAATCAACTCAGTCATCATGCTGACAACCTGATCTACTCAGTCACATTGTACAACCAGTTGCTGATTACATAATGTCCTCACCTTGAATATACAAGAATGAATTCAAAGCAGGTTCTGACATTACTGAACATTCCTGCTTTACATGAACCTAGGAATCCCCGAACATTCATAGTGTACAAAATAGCATCCTAACCTGGAATCTGTAAAGCAGAAAATTCAAAAGGGGGTTCTGGGGACCTTGAACATTCCTGCTACATGTGAATCTACAAACTCCTGAATCTTGTTTTCATACCATGAGTCTATTCTCAAGCACCCACTGACTTCCCTTATGTTACAAATAGCAAAGAGTGTGTTTATTAGTCAACAGTCTTTTAGGTGTATGTTTGTGAGTACTGTTGAAAACAACAGTCAGGTGTCTATCAGACATATCACTACTGTCTGCAAATGGACAAGGCCAACCATGTACTGGAACCAAGCCATCACACATTACAATCAAATATGTCACATCACCAACCCCTACTCGCTTCCACATCTATGGATGAGGAGTACTATTCTTAATTATCCAGACCTCTCCTAGAAGACATAACAACAATGAAATTGTATTACACTGTTTTAAAAGGCCATTGTGATGTCATCAATCATCGTCCATGATCAAATAACATCACTTCTTCCCAAGCCACAGAATTTGGTTAGCTGCACGTTTTACAATCAAAACACTTGTTAATAATGTTTACAAACTGAGAAAGTTGAAGAATCATACTGGGTAATTAACAGAATCTTACCCAGGTGTCTTTTGTAATAAAATCTATCAACACTGGTGAACAAATATTTAAAATTCCTAAGCAAGCATTAACAACGTTATCAAAAGCATTAACATATTTGATATCAAAGGATACTCAGATGAATTTTTCTGTATTATTACATTGTTCACAACACCGACATAGTTTGGATCCATTCCCTAGTCTCCATCTCTACTACTAAGCCAGGACATCACTTACCCCTGACAGGAGTTGAGCAGTGTATAGAAACACACAGATGGCATGTGCTCCCGATCTACTTTCACTCTCTTCATGGCTTCTCTGAATGCGTTGATTTTCTCTATCTTATCCATGTCTTTTCTAAAATAAATAAAAACAAAGCTATCTTTCTGTCTTCTCCTTATTCTTAACCCAATCTAAACCAGATACATACATGCCATGAAAAACCTCCACCAAACAAGCATTGTCACTAAAGTGACATAATCCCATAATCCCCAGCCGCAAATTATCAAATCAAACTTAAAAAGTAATGAAAGTGAAGGTCGTAGTTTAAGATGAAGTTGAATGTCAACAAAAACATGACCAGTCAACCTCTCTTGATATCTTGCTCTGTAGTTGTTCAAACACACAAATATTTTCAAGACTCACTATGACCTTGACATGAATGACATGGTGTATGAAATATGCAAACAAAGTAATAACTAAATTGCTTATCAAAAAACATTCAAGAGAAGTCTTGAAAGTCTATGAAGAAAATCCAGTGAACCGTTCTTGAGAAATCTTGCTGACAATCTTAACATGCAGGTTAACATGCTGAAATCTTCAAAGTGTCGCCGTGACCTTGAAAATTATGTGAAGGTCACCAAAATCGACTGGGCTCAGCGCCTCCCCTAGATGAAGCTTGGTGTCGAATATTAGGAAAATCCAGTGACAGTTCTCGCTGCAAGGGTAAAATATTAAAGTCCCCTTGTGACCTTGAAATGAAGGTCAAGGTCACCACACATGACTGGGACCTTTCGCATACTGTGATGAACCTAGGTACCAAGTATGAAAAGAATTTAGTTAACAGTCCTACAGATATTCCAATTCATACGTACGTACGGATGGATGGACAGAGCCTAATACTATATCCCCAGTTTCACACTAAACGGGGCTAAATAGCCTAGTGGTTAAAGCGTCCGCTCGTCACCAAAGACCCGGGTTCGAATCCCCACATGGGTACAATGTGTGGAGCCCATTTCTGGTGTCCCCTGCCATGATATTGCTGGAATATTGCTAAAAGCGGCGTAAAACCAAACTCACTCACACTAAACGCACGGCAGGGGGAAATAAGCAAATCAAACTAAACAAATATTTGAACTGTAAATAAGGTTCATACTCTTTCAGCAAAGAAATGCAAATAGGAAAACCCTGTTTAAAATCTTACAGTTCTGGCAGTGGAATTCTTGTGTTGGATGGAGCATTGGGATCATTTTTGGATTTTTTCATCAATAGAGGGTCTTTCTTCGGCTTCTTTTTCTGAAAAATCAAGAATTTCCTTTGAGACGCATATCTTGAATTAAATAAAGAATAGAAATGAAAATCTGAAATAAATGGTAACATTTAATGTCAGTGTTGTTCGTTATCACAATCAAGGTCCCTTCTTGGATGTGAATCTGACAGCAATTTGAGTTAACATGCTAAGCAGCCACAAGACTGTAGTACATCTCATTGATAATTCCCAAACTGGATTAAGAAATGCCCTGAATATTCATGTTAAAATAGTTACAACTAATACCACTGCTTTGTAGAGGTGACTTGCAATTCATTGATAACAGGTCCATATGGGACAAAGAGGCATAATTGTAAGTCATATGCCTGTGAATTTAAGAAATTACGAGAGTTGATAGGAAATGATGAATCAATTGTAAAAGTGATTAGGCATAATTTCTTTACCACCCAAATTCTAAAATTTTACTGAACAAAGGAAAGCCAACAGAGAACACAATTATCCCTTTGATAGTACTAAATTTGGTTGTATTCCAAGGTGCTGTGAAATGACAGGATGCATAAAACAATACATGACCCAGCCTTTAACAAGTACATTAGGAACCAATCCATAAACTGCTTTTCCAAGATAATGAAACTGGATATACAGCTCTAAAAACTTTGCTGAACAGTATCCAGAACTTAGAAGACTTGATGCTGATCCCTGGATCAGAAGGTGCACCTGTCACAACCTTCTACAGACGCCAGGGTCATCATGCTGAGAGGTATGGTATCAGGCAGACTAGATCTTACTGAGAGAAAGCAGAATGATGGCAAATCTTGAATTGAAGACCATGATTAATGAATTCTGCCACATTTGAGGAATCAATGTACACTGTACATACAGTACAAACTACCGGGTTTAATGGATCAGGTTTTCCTATATTGAATGAAATTTACAAGAAAACAATAGGGATGCAATAAAGAAGAAGTTACTTGTCTTATAAATAGGGATGCAGATTTGTCATATTTATGCTAGAAAAATAACAACAAAAACAACATGTATGAAAACCTGGTTGGAGATGGATAGAAAAGGTGGTTCTATCGTAATGGCTTACCTTTGGCTTGTCCCCCTCCCCCTCAGTAGTGTCGTCATCCTCTTCCAGGGGGATGTTGAGATCTGGCTCCTTCAGTAGCCCGTAGTACACCTTCACCTTGTTGGCTGAAGTAAAGGGGGCTAATGATACAGTGTTAACATTAAAACACTGGTAACATCAGGAAACAGTGTTAACATGATGGTGTCAAGATCAAGAGACAGTGTTAACATCATGATGCACTGTTAAGATCAAGAGACAGTGTTAACATGATAGTGTTAAGGTCAACAGATGGTGTTAACATGATGATACAGCCAATTTCATCTGACACAGGTCTAATACTTGTTGGATTCATCTAGTGGTGTTCCGATTAATTGAAATAATCGAAGATTGGTCGAAGTGACCAAACGACCAAGCAATCGATCACATTTTCTCATAATCGAACACAAACGATTTTGGAACTGCTGTTTTAGTGTTTGAAACATTTGACGATTGAACATATCTTCGAAGTTGTCAGGGCCTGAAAACTTGTTTAATTCTTAGAAAACTCACTTCACTAACTGAAAAGTCATGACTGAATATTTCTTGAAGACTCCAGAAAGTTTATGTTCATGAATTACTCATCACTTTAAAGTAGCAAGTTGCATCATGTTATACATATCTACAATAACAACCTTGGTAGGAAAATCTGAAAAATGACGCTAACCAATTTTTTCCCCGAAGATTGTTCGTTGGTAATGAAGCAATCATCAATTGTGAGATTTCAACCAATTCCCAACACTAGATTCATCCCATTGATTATCAGTGGAGTGAGAGTGACGTACCTTCCCTGTCCGACTCCCCAAGGAGGCCCCCACTGGATGCATCAATCTGCTGCTTGTTGCGGGGGATTCCATCAAACACTGAAACAAGGTACTTCAATCACATACTGCGTACATAAAAGACTATGGAGATGATTTTCAGTACTTCTCTGAAAGCTGCCACATAGTCTTGTGAACAGATCAAGTCATGAAGGATGAAAACTTTCAACTAAGACAGCATGAGTTGTCTCCCTTTCGAAACCTTCAGAAGGGAGATACAATACCTGTTCTAAATCTCCAGCGGACTCAAGATCATTACTCTGAGGTAATTAGATTCAGCTAGATTGATTTAAATCCTAAATTTTAAAATATTTATGATAACTGACAAAGACATTAATGTATAAAGAACTCATACTCAATGAATCTTGCCAGGATTGACACACTAACTTGTACCTTAAATGTTTATTTTGTTAGATATTTAGTCACACCACTAGGTAGGTAACTGACCGTCTATGAAGAGATGCTCCTGGATGATGTTTAGAAGCCGTGAGAGCTGTTTCTCCTGCAGGTGGCGCTTGAGGTGTGTAGGAGTCACGTGACATCCGGATGACAAACTTGCTTGATCTGTGTCACACATATGCAATAATATCTAACTTACAACTGAATTTGCATTTTGGGTTAACATAATTAATGAAACAAATAATGAAGCAAGACTGTGTCAAACATTTGGTGTGGACACATCTGTAGACACTCTTTACATGTTGTTGAACATCACACTAGTCAATAATCAAGCCTTAGTAAAACACTCCAGTGAATGACAAGCAGCAATCTATGCAAAGCAGTGTACAATGTGCACCATCAATTACATTTCTAAGTATGACCATTTGATTCTTTGCATTGTAATAACCCGCTTATATGGCGCTCATATCCAGGCACATTGCCTGCTCACGGCGCTATGTACTATCCCCTGTCATAGGACACTATCGTACTTTCCAATACTTTTTTCATCTCCCTGCGGATCATACAGCCATGCTGCCTGTCAGGCGCAATGAACTAAACACTCACATTGCCAGCACATCCTCACGGGTACCCATTTTACAGCTGGGTGAACTGAGACAATGTGGATCTAAGTATCTTGTCCAAGGATACTACGCAAATGTGCCCATCTTGGGAGAATTGTCTCTTATGATCAGCATAGGTTGCTTGGGCCTAATCTAACAAGGATACGAACAACCGCAAGTTCTCAAATAACCCCGGCATATAGTGACAATTACAAAACAAACTCAGGAGGCTGGCAACCTACTTAAAGTTATCCATCAGCTGGTTGCCAGCCATGTGTTCCTTCTTGTATACAGTGGACAGCTTCATCAAGTCCTCTTTATAATACTCCTCTTGGTCGAGGGAGAACTTGCCAAAGAAGTGCTTTGCTGAATTACAAACAAAACCTGATTAGGTTAAGACACAGGTATAGATCATGCGTTGGTTCGTATACCAGCCGCTGGTCAGCAGGTCTAAGGGATGCAAATTACAGTTCATTACAACTATCCCCACAGCATGTGTAGCAGCAAGGATTGATATTATATATCAACATGAGAATCAATAATTAATAATTACTGTAAGTTAAATGAACATACACTGCTGAGTGAACTTGTGAACAATAAGGTTTTAGTTTTTAACAGATACAACACTGCTTCGAGCAGTATTTCATAAGAATCAAGTAGCTTTCGCACCCAACACCTCCAGTTTGTTATAACTTGTCAAACAGTACAGTACTGGTTCAGTGGTTGTATCTCAACCCAACACAATGTACCTTGTGGGACATACAAGAATTACTGTTTAGAGAGTACTTCCATACAAGAGTAGTACACCCACAACCTCTGAGCTATAGCCCATCACTACACTCTGAGGTCACAAGCAGAGACATTACTCATTAGCAAGCCAATTCTATGGAAAGAATGTAACCACACACAATATTCATTGTTTTGATGTTTCGTGATCAGGTTTGAGTGCTGTATTAATGCACAGCTGCAGCCACTACAGAAGAAACATGAACAGTTAAACTAAGGGGAGATAACCACAAGCCTACCCAGGCGTTCATGGTCATTGTAGACAAGCTCCAGATACATGTGCACAAATACTGGATACAAGATGGTAGCCAGCTCCACCTGAAAACAGAAACATATTCCTGAATATCATGGACATGATGAATAATGGTTCCAGGGTATTTATCACACAAGAAACATATTATACACTGTATACTTTGTGATGCATGGACACATCAGTAAATCATGACACTCCTATTTGTATCAATGACTGAGATGAAACAGGTGTAACCATGAAACTAACATTATTACCTTATGTACATCAAGACAGGAATCAATGAAGGCTTTGATGTCAGTGTACAGATCTTCATAGATGCTTGGATCGTCATCACTGAAACAAGTCATACATATCATCGCATGTAATATCAGTGTACAGATCTTCATAGATGCTTGGATCGTCATCACTGAAACAAGTCATACATATCATCGCATGTAATATCAGTGTACAGATCTTCATATATCACTGAAACTTGGATCATACATATCATCGTCATCACTGAAACAAGTCATACACATCATCGCATATAATATCAGTGTACAGGCTTTCATAGTTGCTGTTATCATCATCGCTGAAACAAGGAGCACATGTGATGTACATGAGATATTACCAAGTCCTATGGATGTTTACAGTTACTTTTAGCAGCAGCAGCAGCATGTATATGGCTAAGACATAAACAATGATGAAACTGATCTTATGTAGCATGTTGACATGTTTCAAGAGAGAATGAACATATATCATGTGTAGTGGTGAAGCACTTAAAGATCTGAAATGAATGCATGAAATAACCTCTTGTAAGCTGCTAAAGCATGAGAGACTTCTGAAGCACTGGGCCCACTGTCTTCTGTCTTGAACTCTTCATCACTGACTTTAGCCTCTTTCTTCAGCAAAGTCTCAGTTTCCTAGAACAAGAAAATTAATTATCAGGTCCATATCTCTGGTAATTAGTGGTATAATATAATACTTACACTACATGTTTATAAAAGTGAAGTTATTTTACATATTATTATGAAGTACTCTTTGCACTCAGCAATATTCCAGCTATATGGCGGTGGACTGTAAATAACAAAGTCTGGGCCAGACAATCCAGTGATCAACAGCATGAGCATCGATCTACGCAGTTGGGATACGATGACATGTGTCAACCAAGTCAGCAAGCCTGACCACCCGATCCCGATATTCACCTCTTATGACAAGCATGGGTTAATGAAGATCAATTCAAACCCGGATCTTCACATTTACTTTGCATAAAGACAACTTTCACATGTAGAACTAGATCTGCGTCACAAAGTGGCAATAACAGCAGCAGCAGCTCTATGACTATAGTAGCTCTATTTAGGGTATCAGTCATGACAATCATATTACTGTGATCACTGTATAATACTGCTTTATCATTGAAACAACCTAAACACACGAGAACATGGCAGACTGACTGACTGACTGAGTTTGGTTTTACGCTGCTTTTAGCAATATTCCAGCAACATCACGGCAGGGGACACCAGAAATGGGCTTCACTCATTGTACCCATGTGGGGATTCGAACCCGGGTCTTCGGGGTGACGAGCCAACACTTTAACCACTAGACTACCCCACCGCCCCAAACATGGCAGAAGGTGAACTACTTCAAGTTGCAAGAAGGTGCATTTACGGCAGAATATGAAACTGTAACTTAAATGCAATGGGGAACCCTTGACTATAAATATAAAGACATTGTATCCCTCATCAGCACATACTGTACTGTGCATGCTTTACGCTCAAGTAGCTATATGAATATGATAATGACATTGAAAAGTAAACAGTTACAGCACACAAGAATCAAAGCAGTTCCATCTGAAGATAAAATATGTTCTTAACAATGAGTGCATCAGTGCAAAGTAGAACACTAATATCTTCACAAATTTCACTTGTCTGTAATGAATCAGATATCCCACCCTTTAGCATGATTAGTAATGATAAGTTCATCAGGCCAAAAAGCCATTAATGATTAATCTAATGTAAGCTTTTGGAAGAACAGCAGAAATTGTGGTGATATATATTCCTGTGTATCAATGATCACATTGTTAGTTGTTTAACGCCATAATCACAACAATCTTAATTTGTAACACATTCTAAACACGATCAAAATCCATAAAACATTCCATAATTTGGACTCACGTTAGGGATTGATCAAATTCCATGTTATTTACCAAGAAGACACATCAATTAAACATTTCTTTGAAGTTGTGACTGAGTTTACCTAACAAGACAATATGCCCTTGAAAATGTTGAAACGCTGAACTCAATACAGATTTCCTGCCTGTTAGAAGAAATGTGATGACCAATAAGTTGTGCCAAGATTTGTGATACCAAAGTAAATTTGTGCTTGAAATACATGTTTGGGTCTAGAAAATAACAATCATAACTTTGACAATCAGAGGTTAAACAATGATGAATAAAGAAGCGCAGAGACCAAACATTTACTTTTTGAGAGATCCTGTAAATTTGACATACAGTGAAAGCTGTCAAAACCAGCAGCTGTCCAATCTGCCAAGTTGTCAACACTGGCATAAAGTCTCAGTACTATCTGTGGCTAGGACATTTTATCATCATTTAAAAGCTCTGCAATCTGGCAGCTGTCGATTCCGGATATTGGCATGAAATGACTTGCCCGAATATGTGTTTATACAGTAATCAGCGCTGTCTAATCCCGCTAGTGGCAAGGAGTCAGTCGGATGTGTTCTATCACCAATTAATCCTGCATTGAAATAACAGGGTATTTTGAGTGTGTGGCAGCCATCACATCTTTAAGTAATTACATGGTTGCTGACAATGACAGTTTAAACTTAGTTCAGTACGGGTATACTTGTACATGTAATTAGTGAGTTAGTGCCATTAAGATGCATGGATGATCAGTGTTCTGTATTGCAATTGGCTGGAGCAGATAAACAGACAGAAGACAGGGCTCCAGATAATTTTTCAACATCAGGACTACGTACTCCTTATGTTTTCAATATAGGAGTACTGGAAAAAACTTAAGAGTACATTTAGAGTACTGAATGGAATTTAAAGGCGTATCAGTAGTATTGTGTTTCGTTTCATAAGCACCACAACATTGCTACTCTTGTGTAAACAGGTCAATAAACAATAAAACAATACTTTTTCAGATAAATACGTCTGTAAATGATTTTACGACCGTACACCATTGCTGTGGTGCGTATCTGCTACGTTTTCTAAATTATTTCCTACCGTATCGGGCATATTTTTTATCCGTTCACATACGCCGATACGGCCCTTATCTGGAGCCCTGAGAAGAGACTTCCTCAAAATGTGCACAGAAATGAAGCTCAGTCCTAGTCGTAAATAATCGTGTCAGCTCTACAATCAGGTGGGTGTCAGTTTAGACAGCTTCCACTGTATAGTGTTTGACTGTATTTAGTCAACTAGATTCAGTCACGATCACAAGATCCTGCGATGTGAATTATCAGTATTCAAAAACCTAAAAACTTTCCATCAAACCATAATTCTACCATCTCTTTTCCAATTCATTAAAGTTTGGTTGGTTGGTTTGTTGTTTAACGACGCACTCAGCAATATTCCAGTTATATGGCGGCTCTGTAAATAATCGAGTCTGGATCAGACAATCCAGTGATCAACATAATAAACATCAATCAACGCAATTGGGAACCGATGACATTTGTCAACCAAGTCAGCGAGCCTGACTACCTGATCCCGTTAGTCGCCTCTTACGACAAGCATGGGCTACTGAAGACCAATTCTAACCCGGATCTTCTCAGGTCAATTTATTAGAGACTCACTCTAAGGGCTGTAGGTGAATTCGTAGACCAGACTGGTTTGTAGACGTGGAAATCCGGTGGATTCGTCGACGTTAGTAAAATGGGGAAACTTCAACATCATTGATGATGAAAATCGATATTATGACTTTAGTGTAAACGAAAAGTGTTTGAGTTTTGAGAAATAAACAAAAATATATTAGGTAAGTATGATCAGTGATGAAAAAAACATCAATTATCAACATTCAACTACGCAGACCAGCAGAGAAGTAGCAGTAGAGAAGAAGGATAAGGTGGGTCACCGACAAGGTAATTAACAAAACACTTCAATATACACACGGTATTTGACCATCAAAACAACTAACAAAACACTTTAATATACACACGGTATTTGACAATCAAAACAACTAACAAAACACTTCAATATACACACAGTATTTGACAATCAAAACAACTAACAAAACACTTCAATATACACACAGTATTTGACAATCAAAACAACTCACCACTTCCTAAATAACATTCACAACAACTCAGTGCAACCTGTTTTCGATGAGTAGACTAATTTAATTTAATCCACTGAAAACTTAAACGACAGTGAAAACTGTTTAACAATTTCATTATTTTCTTGTTGTCGGAAAATTATGATGAGTAGACAAATTTAAAAGGATTAAGAAAAAGAAATCATTATCAAAATTAATATGCTTACAAAATACTATTATTCAATTATTTATACACGTCTACGAAATCACCGTCTACGAACCAGTCTGGGCTACGAATCCACCGCGCCTACGAACTGGTTCAGCCTACGAAAACACCGTCTCCCACCCTAAGGATCCTAAAAGGGTATTTTCTGGTAGAGACATGTCAGCTACCTAAGGACATAAAGGGGCGTTTGCTTGTAAAGCGACGTCAGCTCCCTAAGACCCAGGGAAAGAGGCCCTTGCCTGCTGCGCCCTGTAAACTGCACTCAGGACATAATAGAGGGGATCCAAGGGCTACGAATACAGTTGGGTGTAACTACCCGAACACAACTAATCAAACGATCAAAGATGCAAATGAGATCTGTCAAACAAGAACCAATTAGCGTAACAGTAAACAGTGTTCAGTAAACAACACTCTTGCCGAAGACAGCAGTGTCCGGATGACAAAGTCAAGTAATCTGGCATTGAAATTGCGTGCGCTGTATAATCTAGTGACGACTACTCAGTAGTGATGCGAGGGGACCTCATTATGATGATAGCAAATACAGTCACAAGACGGGACCAAATAACAACTAAACGAGTCAGATAGGCAGTGTGACAGTTAACGAAGATTTCATGCTCGATATCAATCTTTATTTGGGTGTAAGTATGGATCAATCTCGGAAATGTTAGTTTACCGTTGTGGTCAACGCTGACAAAAAGTCAAACTGGTTGTTTTTAGCAAACTAGCGGGTGCAACTTGCTCTTACGAAGACACAACGGTAAACAGAGCATCCAAAAATAACTCATATTTGAAGGATAATATATACCTTTAGGTTATGTTTCTTAAGAAATTGCAACACTGCAAGTAACGTCTGTTTTTCAGATATATCAACTTTGGCGTCCTCCATACTTGGCGGGTCCGCCATTTTGGCAAGCACTCTCCTATATCCGGTCGGTACGGAGTAAATAGAAACGTGCGTATTTTTGTTTGAAACGAATCAAGACTTTTCATCCGAATATTAATCACACTTACTTTTTACAGTGAATGGACGTTGTGATTATTTCAAGTTTTTGTAATTCCTAACATGAACATTTGATAATGGATATGCTATTTTCGAAACGCATAGTATTATAGTATTATAAGTTGAGGCAATGGCATGGGGAATGGTCACTAAGTACAAATATCACACGTCAAAAGTATTACACCTGGGGCAAAAACAACATACGTGTTTATGTGGGTTTTTTTCATTTATTCTTATATAGTTACGTTTATAAATATAGAGGAAAACAGGGGCTTGTAACGCAACAATCTGGCATGAAGGTATTTACTTTCACTAAAGGGGTCTCAACACCATGTATGTATTTGTGTTAAGACCCCGTTAGTGACAGTATTTACCTTGATGCCAGATTTTTGCGTTACAAGCTCCTGTGAAGGAAAAATGCTTATTTGCAGAATAGAAATGAATATTGTTTTATTTGCATACTATACTTATGATAAATCTCCATACATTGACATTAGTAAATACATTATACCTGAAATTCAATTTGGTGATTATGTATAAAATAATTCAACTAGTATCACCAGCTTTATGTTACATTGTCAATCACAATCTACTGAGCGATGTCAATAAATTGTCATAAAATAGGCAAGAAACAGTAAAATAACACATTTTGTATATATGCTTCCTTAACATTTCTGGTAGTCCGTCTCACAGTCCCTGAACCATATTATTTTCCCCAATGCTTAGCCCTCCCTGCAATGCTAAAGCCCTAAATGAAGCAAGTCTAGATTTCCCTCAGGTTCAGGCCTAAATCTCTGGTCTCACTGGGGCTCCTTTTCAATTTAAATGGGTTTATTTGCTACTATCACAATTATATATATTCAGGGACTCAACGTTAGTCTACATTTCTGGCTAAGTGCCGTTCTCGCCGCATCTTGCCGCGTCCTTTATTAGATTCAGTTGTCATGAACATATAGTAGTAGTTGTGTCGAATGCAGTATATATCCCGCACGCGGAGAAAATCCGCTACGTCACTTCCTCTTTCCTTAGCAGCATCTGAGAAGGTAGCATGTCCTAGAGTATTTTCGTCGAACAATCCGTTCAATATCTTGTCAATCTTGCATTATATTGTTGTGACATGTGAATAAAGTCAATATTTTATGTCTTTTCAGACTTCTCTTCCACGATGAGAGCCAAGGTAATTTTATTTTTAATCATATGAGATAAATGATGTACTTTTGGAAAATTGTCAACACGAGGTTACAGGATTCGCAGTTGTCCTATGTGATCTGCTGTAACGCAATTAAACTTGTGAACTAGGGTCAGTTAGTTAATTAGATCACGAAGCAATTACTTTGTTGCACTGTTTTCTGAACAACATTGCTGTATACCGGGAACAGCTTGTAAAGCATTTGTTGGTCTCGACTGCCTACTCTGAATATCACATGCCTCTTCAATCCTTAGTGTTGTGTTACTCCTTAGTCCGTAGATATCATTTCCGACCAAGAATCCTGTTACTATCCTTTGTAATCTAAGTTTGAGGAAAAATGATTTTTAACATAGTTTCGCAGAGGAATCGGCTGTTGCACTTTCGCTTAAAGGCAAACTAACGTTTGCTGATAACTTTGTAAATAAGCACTAAATGATTTTGTTAATGCCGGTTCTGTGGTCAATTTCGACTCTTAGTGCAATGATATTGAAATGTAAAGAATTGTTCAACAGCACACTTTCTCGGGGTAATGGCATACGCCACAACCCAGTCAAATATACTTGTAAACTGATTGGCCATGCTGAAGATCTATGATGGTATCTCCTCGTTATGATTTCCAATGAAATCCAACCTAATTGCTGAGATCTTTGTACTGGTTAATTTGAGTTTACTTGTAGGTAAAAACAGTACCTAAGATTAGTTACTAATGAATGTTATACTGAACATGTACTACGCATGCATGATTCAATAAACTGTTTGAGAGGCATTCTAGAAGTGGGAATGCTAAAAGCAGCATAAAACCATACTCTCACTGAAGTGCATATTAATTCTACATTTTTACACTTGACTAGAAATTTCTGGTTCAAGTGATATAACGTTTGTCATGCGGAAGACTCGGTTCGATTCCCAACATGGGTACAATGTGTGAAACCTATTTCTGGTGTCCCCTGTGGTGATATTGCTAAAAGCATCCTAAAGCCATACTCACTCACAGAAGTGCATATTAGTTCTACATGTATGCACTCGACTAGAACCTTTTCTCTTGGGTTTAGGGGTGGTGGGGTAGCCTAGAGGTTAAAGTGTTCGCTCATCACGCTGAAGACCTGGGTTTGATTCCCCACATGGGTACGATGTGTGAAGTCCATTTCTGGTGTCCCCAACCGTGATATTGCTGGAATATTGCTAAAAGCGGGGTAAAACGAAACTCGCTCGCTCCATGAACACTTGTCAATCCTAAGTTTTCAATAGTTTTCATAACTACAACCAACTTTGTGTTGAAGCAAAACTATAAGCATATATAGGCAACTACAAACTATAAGACCCTAGTTGTGCTGATGCACTCTATCCAAAATTAGAATACACAAATATACAGTGTTCATTCATTATTCATTACTGTTTGCTAGTTTCTTGTATAACACAATTAAATGCGTCTGATACAGCTATGACAGTTTTGATGAAGAAACCCACCATGTGGAATTGGCTCCTCTTGGGGGTACGTTTCTCTTTTCAGGGGTACACATCTGTAGTACCCCTGCGTACGACCCCTTTAGTCCTGGATCCTTTTTAATCTGAAGTAAAATACTGAAGTAACTGATCAAAGTAAAGTAGCTGCAGTCTTAACCTGTTTCATGAGTTAGTGAATGTCCCAATACTGTCAAGTTATGGTTGTTGAGATCTTGTTTCAACGTTGGCATCTTGGCTGAGTAATTTAACTTTACATGTATATATAGATTTATCTCAAGGATTATATTGATTTTGAACTGTTTTCAAGATAACTAGGACCCATTCCTATCCATTTGTATGTTAAGGGAAGAGTTTTCTGCAGATTTTATAACGCTGGGGTCATTCTTGTGATTCTATATCTTATGAGGAAGAACCTTGGCTCATTTTCATCTTTTTTTACTTGTACCCATTCTCATCCCTGCGTGTAGCTTTATGTGAAGTTCTTGCTGCAGGCTCTTTATGTATAATCTATGACCCAATAGTATGGGGTGATGCATAGGAAGTGTTCATGAGGTTCATAAAAGTGCTTCACTATCAGTGTCAAATGTTAGGCTGGGATGCTTTGACAACTGAAACAGTGTACTGCCAAATTCTTTCACTATCTGACCGCCTCCGCGGTGGTGTGGTTAGGGCGTCCGCCCAGGAGAGCGGAAGGTCGCTGGTTCGATCCCCGACAGCATCATACCAAAAGACGTTAAAATATGGTACTTGTTGATCCCTGCCTGACGCTCTGCATTAATGGGTACAACAAGGACTGGTCGGCTCGGAGTCAGTATAATGTGTCTGAGTGGGGTATTCACTAACAACTTTCAAAAACGTTCAATATCTAAATGAGCTGTATTTATTCTAATAAGATCTTGTAGATAATAATAGATCATTCAACACTGATACCTTGAAATAAGACATTTTTGGTCTTGTGAAATATTAAAAGTTCAAGGCTTTTTCTAAGAAATAAAATGACATCGATGATGGCAATTCAGCGGAATGATTTTCTGTGATCTCGAAACTAAACTGAGATGTCATGTCTACAAACCTGTTAGCTATAGTCCGTTTGGCTCAAAAGCAAACCGATGAATTGCAATCTTACTCTTAAACTACTAAACGTAACATACTCAATGAAACGCTGATCATAATCAAAACATCATACCCACTCTGAGGTTTTTGCAGAAGTTTTGTCCTAAAAATAATAAAGTTGTTTAACAAACTATCATTAAAATATTGACAGTTCACTGTTTGTTACGAGGGAGGAGTGCAGAGAAAGGGGCAGCCAGGTGTTCGAGAAGCACGTTCACAGACAAAGTTATTTATTCATTAACTCTTTCAACACCAGTCAACCAGAGGCATTTACTGCCATGACACCGAGTTCCCAGAGACTCTGAGGTCATAGATGAAGCCTATGTTTGTGAAGGAAATTATAAGCTTGTAAACGTTATTGCTACTACATCCCATACACCATTTAAAAGATCTAATCCTACTGTTGATAAATATGAAGTTTATTTTTATAATATTATTCAAATAATACAACTAAAACTTAAATAAATCTATATTTGAATGAAAATGCAAGCTTACATTTATAACGTCCAGATAAACCACGAAAGGAGCAAAAACTATGGCGATTTTTTCCATTTGTGACATGTCATAACATGGCCGTGCCTTTTCCTTTTATATTTTCATTTTTACGTAATCAGAAAATTATTATAAAAAGATTTCTTAAACAATATGTACGGTCGCCTATTTCCCGATATCTGTGGCTTTCCGCTCGGTAAAATGACATAACGGAAAATACCTCCGTTTTCGAAGCTTCGTATGAATAACATGCGCGGCAAATCGTTTGATGTTGGGCATCGTTCGAAAGCTCTGAACATCAACAATATCACTGTACCCTTGCCAAGAGTATTTTCACAGTTGTAAGAAGCGATTTTATTGGATAAAGATTGGTTTCTAATGACGCTTTTTCGCCACAGTCTGCTATAAGGGTCGTGATTGGTTTAAATCAGACACGTGACCTAAGGCAGCCAATCATATTACGCCAATGGATACCGGTCTCGTAAACGAAAACTTTTAGATTTTGACAAATGTTTTGGGTAAAATAATGCTATTCTGAACATATTAAGCAAGAAATCGCTACCTATACGTAAATTATGGAACTTATTGGGCGTATCGTGCTAGGTTATGACCTGTGACAAAAATGCTTCATGTATGTATTTTCGCATTAAACATCGTGTCCGAGCGTGAAGATTGAGGCGGCGAGAGCCGAGATGTCACTTGTCAGTGACTTGACTTGCATTACATGATCGCACAAAACGATGGAAATAGTAATTTTATATGTACGTTTGACAACTTTTATGAATGCTGTTGTTGATTTTATTCATTAGTTTATTCAATTTATTTAATAATTTCCTCGAAACATCGTTACTTTGCTCTTTGACAATGTTATTGTGGACCCGCTGCCGAAGCATGTGTCCGAGAATCGTTGTTTTCAATAACATTGCGAAAAATAGTTTATAATTTTAATTCTGCTGATAATATATGATAAATTGAAATTTAATAAGTGTTTTCAGACATTGTGAAATGTGATAGATTTGATATATGAATCAAAAGTCAGGTAGGTTCCTAAAATTATGTCTCATTTTGACGTGACTACTGCCTGGCCGATTAATCGGCCTCCGGTGTCTGGGGACTCATAACGTTGTGGCCGATTATTCGGCCTGCGGTGTTGAAAGGGTTAACCTGTGCTGTGCCGTCTCCATCCGTCTTCAATCCTTAGTGTTAGTTGTGTTACTCCTTAGTCCGTAGATCTCATTTCCGACCAAGAATCCTGTTACTATCCTTTGTAATGTAAGTTTGAGGAAAAATAATTTTTAACATAGTTTCGCAGAGGAATCGGCTGTTGCACTTTCGCTTAAAAACGTTTGCTGGTAACTTTGTAAATAAGCACTAAATGTTTTTGTTAATGCCGGTTATGTGGCCAATTTCGACTCTTAATGCAGTGATATTGGAATGTAAAGAATTGTTCAACAGCACACTTTCTCAGGGTAATGGCATGGGCCACAACCCAGTCAAATATACTTGTAAACTGATTGGCCATGCTGAAGATCTATGATGGTATCTCCTCGTTATGATTTCCAATGAAATCCAACCTAATTGCTGAGATCTTTGTACTGGTTAATTTGAGTTTACTTATAGGAAAAAACAGTACCTAAGATTAGTTACTGATGAATGTTATGCTGAACATGTGCCATGCATGCATGATTCAATAAACTGTTTGAGAGGCATCCTAGAAGTCGTAAGCAGTGGGAATGCTAAAAGCAGCATAAAACCATACTCTCACTGAAGTGCATATTAATTCTACATGTTTACACTAGACTAGAAATTTCTGGTTAAAGTGATATAACGCTTGTCATGCGGAAGACTCGGTTTGATTCCCCACATGGGTACAATGTGTGAAACCTATTTCTGGTGTGCCCTGTGGTGATATTGCTAAAAGCATCCTAAAACCATACTCACTCACAGAAGTGCATATTAGTTCTACATGTATGCACTCGACTAGAACCTTTTCTCTTGGGTGGTGGGGTAGCCTAGAGGTTAAAGTGTTCGCTCATCACGCCGAAGACCTTGCTTCAATTCCCCACATGGGTACAATGTGTGAAGTCCATTTCTGGTGTGCCCCGCTGTGATATTGCTGGAATATTGCTAAAAGCGGGGTAAAACAAAACTCTCGCTCCATGAACACTTGTCATTCTTAAGTTTTCAATAGTTTTCATAACTACAACCAACTTTGTGTTGAAGCAAAACTATAAGCATATATAGGCAACTATAAACTATAAGACCCTAGTTGTGCTGATGCACTCTAGCCAAAATCACAATACACAAATATACAGTGTTCATCGAGCAATATTCATTACTGTTTGCTAGTTTCTTGTATAATACAATTAAATGCATCTGATACAACTATGACAGTTTTGATGAAGAAAACCCACCATGTGGAATTGGCTCCTCTTGGGGTATGTTTCTCTTTTCAGGGGTACACATCTGTAGTACCCCAGCATACGACCCCTTCAGTCCTGGATCCTTTTTAATCTGAAGTAAAATACTGAAGTAACTGATCAAAGTAAAGTAGCTGCAGTCTTAACCTGTTTCATATGTTAGTGAATGTCCCAATACTGTCAAGTAATTGGTTGTCGAGATCTTATTTCAAGGTTGGCATCTTGGCTGAGTAGTTTAACTGTACCTGTATATATAGATTTATCTCAAGGATTATATTGATTTTGAACTGTTTTCAAGATAACTAGGACCCATTCCTATCCATTTGCACGTTAAGGGAAGAGTTTTCTGCAGATTTGATCACGCTGGGGGTGATTCTTGTGAATTTAAATCTGAGGAGAAAGAACCTTGGCTCATTTTCATCTTTTTTCACTTATACCCATTCTCATCCCTGCGTGTAGCTTTATGTGAAGTTCTTGCTGCAGGCTCTTTATGTATAATCTATGACCCAATAGTATGGGGTGATGCATAGGAATTGTTCATGAGATTCATAAAAGAGCTTCACTATCAGTGTCAAATATTAGGCTGGGATGCTTTGACAACTGAAACAGTGTACTGCCAAATTCTTTCACTATCTGACCGCCTCTGTGGTGGTATGGTTAGAGCGTCCGCCCCGGAGAGCGGAAGGTCGCTGTTTCGATCCCCGACCGTGTCATACCAAAAGACGTTAAAATAGGGTACTTGTTGGTCCCTGCCTGGCGCTCGGAATTAATGGGAACAACAAGGACTGGTCGGCTCGGAGTCAGTATAATGTCTGAGTCACTGCGGCATGGCATCTCAGTGGGCTAGCACTATAAAACCAGCTTAAGTCTGGGCTAGTACAAGCAGCTGCACATACACATACACACGCATGCACGTCGTCAAATGAGCGAAATATTCTCAAGCACGACGTGAACCCAATTTCACCTCTTTCACTATCTACAATACCCACACTGCAAGGCCCAGCTTTAGTACACTTGAAACTGTAGACAGGTTTCTGCCTTGCAGGTTTTCCTGCACTAACAACTTTCAAAAACGTTCAATATCTAAATGAGCTGTATGTATTCTAATAACATCTTGTATATAACAATAGATCATTCAACACTGATACCTTGAAATAAGACATTTTTGGTCTTGTGAAATATTAAAAGTTCAAGGCTTTTTCTAAGAAATAAAATGACATCGATGATGGCAATTCAGCGGAATGATTTTCTGTGATCTCAAAACTTAACTGAGATGTCATGTCTACAAACCTGTTAGCTAGTAAATTAGGATGGTTTGCATTGGGCGTCTTACACTGTTTTATGTTTCTCACTTCCAATTGCAGTGGAGAAAGAAGCGTATGCGAAGGCTCAAGCGTAAAAGGAGAAAGATGAGGGCAAGGTATGTACTTTATGTGTTTTGAAGAGTTTGAGATCTTATGGGGGATTTCAGGATAAGAATTGGCCCACATGTAACAGAAATAGAGTATATGTGTTGAGACAATTAAGTTCAATTAGTTGTCTGTTTTAGCTCGCTCTGTGTTGTTTTGGCTTAAATTGTTGATTCTATCCACCAGTTTGTCAAAACGGTTGACAATCTGGAATCATAAAGCTGGGATGCTGACATTGTCAAGGCTATCTTTGTTTAATTCACCAAATGGACCTCTGTGGGCCTGTTACTACAATGTCATATTGGTGAGGAGAGTTCATTTTTAGAAAGCTGTATGAGGATGATTTTACTGCTAGAAGCATTCCCATTGCCTGATGTTTGCACAGTTGACAGAAATGAACATGACATATCGATCAAAATTGTTACTTGTCTGAAGTCATATCTTCCCACTTGCTAGATATGTAGGTAGTGGTTGCAGTACAAACCAACCATCTATTTAACTGGGATTGACGAACAGTGTATGCAAACCCAAGTATTGTCAAAGGTTGTTGTAGGTTGGCCATTGCATTTAAGCGTTTAGCTGGATTTATCTATTGTTTCAACAGCTCAGTATTGGATTTCTCATTGTTTCAGATCAAAGTAGATGCCCACATCCTGCCCTGATGACTGTACAGACTTGCGTCAGTATCTCATCCAGCATCAACCATCATTCATGGCAAGTCGCACCACTGGGTTCCAGACTAACACCACCAGACTATCATATCAGCTTCTGACTCCAGCTTGAATGGAGCAGGGCAAGAAGAGAAGAAGAGAATAAGAGGACGAAGATTATGTAAAAGCGTGGACATTCTCCAGGTTTTGCATCTTGGTGTTGTGGCGTGTGCAGATATTGCACAGGTCCAGCACTGGCCCCTGTTCTGCAAGTGACTTCCCTCACCACAACAGCATCAGCAACAGCAACAGCAACACGTCTCTGTAGGTACGGGGCCAGAGAAATGAGATTGTCAACGGAGGAAGATGGGCTCTGAAGGAGCATGGCTTGATTATGCTTGTGAAGGACAGTACCATCAGTCCCAGGTGTTAGAGCATGGGGGGTGACTCCCCAGGTTCTGCATAGGCCCCAGTTGCCAAGGAGACACTTTAGCTTGTAGGCCAGGGGCTTGGTGGATAGAGGGGTACTCCGATGATGATGATGATGATGATGATGAATGTCAGTGCGTGTAGGTTGTGTGACTGGCAGGCACGGCACCCCCCTCTGTTCACTGTTTGGAACTCAGTTGTGTGATTATTCTCACTGTAGGGAGTTTGTATGGTTGCATCAGGGAAAAAAAAACATGTACAGATACCAACTAAAATAAATGTTAAATCTGTGCAGTTTCTCTTGTTCTGTTTACTTGACTAGTTGATATGGTTTGTCAAGGTACATAAGAGCTTTAGTGACAGATTATAGATACAGTTTGTTTTTTATTCTGGCTCAAATGACCCATTTCTAAAATTAAAGGAAAGGTTCGACCTTAAGCAGGGTTTTGTACCCCACCCTGCCAGGAGTTGTGCAAGGTGTTTCAGAAATCAGTTGGTGTATCAGCCATTTAAGTTTACCTGGCTGGAGTCTGTAGAGTTAATGCAGTTGCCTGTTTGACTCGAACACCATTTGATGAGCACCTTAACACCCCATGTACATGGACTATACTGAAAGCTTAAATGTGTGGTCCTCGGCCAACCTTTTCTTTTGAATGTTAGGAGACTTGTGTTTAGTTTTGGGTGGTATTTGGCCTTCGAAATTTGACATACGTTTAAGGTTTTCAAAATATATTGCATTGAACCAAAGGTTGAATTGACACAAACAATATACTTATCTGGTTACAAAAGACTGGTGATGAATACTGTAGCCCACCAGGGATGGAAGTCTGTTACCATGGATCAGTTAGATGCTTGTTATCCCCCGGCAACACGTTTTGCGGGGGGTATTAAAATGGACTCCTTGCGTCCATGCACATTTGTCTTTTCCGAGCTGAACTCTAAAACCGTTCACTATTTCTTCACCAAACTTGGCACATAGATAGATCTGGTGGTGTACTTGTGCCTTTTGGTAGTTTTGGAATTCTGAATAAAATAATTTTGGCGTTTCCATGAAAACAAGTTTGACTAAAACAGAATTTAGTGGTGTGACTGTTCCGGAGCAGAACTCTAAAACCATTCAATGTTTCTTCACCAAACTTGGCACATAGATAGATCTGGTGGTGTACTGGTGCCTTTTGGTAGTTTTGGATTTCTGAATAAAATATTTTTGGCATTTCCATGGCAACAACTTTGACATAGACTGAAATTGGTGATAGTGCTCCTTTCTGGAGCAGAACTTTAAAAACCTTTCACACTCTCCTTCCACTTTTCTATGTACACACCTAAGTATTTGACATAATCATAACTCGTAGACATAATCATGAAGAGTATTTTGCCATTGCGGGGGATATTGATGACTTTGTCTTGTTATGAAATAATCGCTAATGTGTTTCGTCAAGGCTAACACAAGATAAAGTTTAAAGCGGCCTTCACACGTCAAACTCGAGTTTGAGAGTTAACATTCCAACAATTCACCATCAACACCAATTTCAGAGATTTTCGAACTGTTGTCGAGAAATAGGATTGGTCTCCATTCTCACCAACTTTTCCATCAAACTTTCGGTGTTGTCTAACTCTAGTTTGATATCTGAAGTGTTGTCAAATTCGTGTTCAGAAACCCCAATCGCAGTCAACAAAATTGTCACGTCCGCACCGATGGAGACATGGCGCTCATATGACGCGAAAGTTTGACAACGTGTTTGCCGTGTGAAACGCGAGCTTGACAACTTTTAAACTTTCATCTTCTGTTGTCAAACTTAGGTTTAACGTGTGGAGGCCGCTTTATATGGACAGGTTGAAGTGTATAGGGGCGGAGGGGTAGTCTAGTGGTTAAAGTGATCTAACGCTTGTCACGCTGAAGACTCAGTTCGATTCCCCATATGGGTACAATGTGTGAAACCTATTTCTGGTGTCCCCTGCGGTGATATTGCTAAAAGCATCCTAAAGCCATACTCACTCACAGAAGTGCATATTAGTTCTACATGTATGCACTCGACTAGAACCTTTTCTCTTGGGTTTAGGGGCAGTGGGTAGCCTAGCGGTTAAAGCGTTCGCTCATCACGCTGAAGACCCGGGTTTGATTCCCCACATGGGTACAATGTGTGAAGCCAATTACTGGTGTAATGATATTGATATTGCCAAAAGCAGCGTAAAACTAAACTCACCCTCTTGGGTTTAAGTCGTCCTATCATTGACACACTTGTGGTGTTTTAAACTTTCACTAATGGTCACATCATCTATATACAACAGCACGGCAGCAGGTCGCATCAAGTATATACAACAGCAGGTCACATCTATATACAACAGCACGGCAGCAGATCACATCATACAACAGCATATACAATATCACGGCAGCAGGTCACATCAAGTATATACAACAGCAAGGCAGCAGGTCGCATCAAGTATATACAACAGCAAGGCAGCAGGTCGCATCAAGTATATACAACAGCACGGCAGCAGGTCACATCTATATACGGCATCAGGTCACATCATATATACAACAGCAACGGCAGCAGGTCGCGATCAAGTATATACAACAACCGCAGCAGGTCACATCATCTATATACAACAGCAGGTCACATCATCTATACAACAGCACGGCAGCAGGTCACATCTATATACAACAGCACGGCAGCAGGTCATCAAGTATATACAACAGCACGGCAGCAGGTCACATCTATATACAACAGCAAGGCAACAGGTCACATCAATATACAATACAACAGCACGGCAGCAGGTTGCATCAAGTATATACAACATCACGGCAGCAGGTCGCATCAAGTATATACAACAGCACGGCAGCAGGTCGCATCAAGTATATACAACAGCAAGGCAGCAGGTCGCATCAAGTACATACAACAGCACGGCAGCAGGTCACATCATCTATATACGACAGCAGGTCACATCAGGTATATACAACAGCAGGTCACATCTATAACCAACAGCACGGCAGCGGATCGCATTAAGTATATACAACAGCACGGCAGCAGGTCGCATCAAGTATATACAACAGCACGGCAGCAGGTCACATCATCTATATACAACAGCAGGTCACATCATCTATATACAACAGCACGGCAGCAGGTCGCATCAAGTATATACAACAGCACGGCAGCAGGTCGCATCAAGTATATACAACAGCACGGCAGCAGGTCGCATCAAGTATATACAACAGCACGGCAGCAGGTCGCATCAAGTATATACAACAGCACGGCAGCAGGTCGCATCAAGTATATACAACAGCACGGCAGCAGGTCGCATCAAGTATATACAACAGCACGGCAGCAGGTCGCATCAAGTATATACAACAGCACGGCAGCAGGTCGCATCAACAGACGGCAGCAGGTATCAAGTATATGCAACAGCACGGCAGCAGGTCGCATCAAGTATATACAACAGCAGGGCATCAGGTCACATCAAAGCAGGTCGCATATATAACAGCACGGCAGCAGGTCGCATCAAGTATATACAACAGCACGGCAGCAGGTCGCATCATCTATATATCAATCAGCAACGGCAGCAGGTCATCAGTATATACAACAGCACGGCAGCAGGTCGCATCAAGTATATACAACAGCACGGCAGCAGGTCGCATCAAGTATATACAACAGCACGGCAGCAGGTCGCATCAAGTATATACAACAGCACGGCAGCAGGTCGCATCAAGTATATACAACAGCACGGCAGCAGGTCGCATCAAGTATATACAACAGCACGGCAGCAGGTCGCATCAAGTATATACAGGGCAGCACGGCAGCAGGTCGCATCATCTATATACAACAGCAACAGCAGGTCGCATCATCTATATACAACAGCACGGCAGCAGGTCGCATCAAGTATATACAACAGCACGGCAGCAGGTCATCATGTATATACAACAGCACGGCAGCAGGTCACATCATCTATATACAACAGCACGGCAGCAGGTCGCATCAAGTATATACAACAGCACGGCAGCAGGTCGCATCAGGTATATACAACAGCACGGCAGCAGGTCATCATCTATATACAACAGCACGGCAGCAGGTCGCATCATTATATATACAACAGCACGGCAGCAGGTCACATCATCTATATACAACAGCACGGCAGCAGGTCACATCATCTATATACAACAGCACGGCAGCAGGTCGCATCAAGTATATACAACAGCACGGCAGTAGGTCGCATCAAGTATATACAACAGCACGGCAGCAGGTCGCATCATCTATATACAACAGCACGGCAGCAGGTCGCATCAAGTATATACAACAGCACGGCAGCAGGTCACATCATCTATATACAACAGCACGGCAGCAGGTCGCATCAAGTATATACAACAGCACGGCAGCAGGTCGCATCATCTATATACAACAGCACGGCAGCAGGTCACATCAAAAGTATATACAACAGCACGGCAGCAGGTCATCATCTATATACAACAGCACGGCAGCAGGTCACATCAAGTATATACAACAGCACGGCAGCAGGTCGCATCATCTATATACAACAGCACGGCAGCAGGTCGCATCATCTATATACAACAGCACGGCAGCAGGTCGCATCAAGTATATACAACAGCACGGCAGCAGGTCACATCATCTATATACAACAGCACGGCAGCAGGTCGCATCAAGTATATACAACAGCACGGCAGCAGGTCGCATCAAGTATATACAACAGCACACGGCAGCAGGTCAGGTCACATCAAGTATATATACAACAGCACGGCAGCAGGTCATCATATATACAACAGCAACAGGTCACATCTATATACAACAGCACGGCAGCAGGTCGCATCAAGTATATACAACAGCACGGCAGTATATACAACAGCACGGCAGCAGGTCGCATCAAGTATATACAACAGCACGGCAGCAGGTCGCATCATTTATATACAACAGCACGGCAGCAGGTCGCATCAAGTATATACAACAGCACGGCAGCAGGTCACATCATCTATATACAACAGCACGGCAGCAGGTCGCATCAAGTATATACAACAGCACGGCAGCAGGTCGCATCAAGTATATACAACAGCACGGCAGCAGGTCACATCATCTATAACAGCACGGCAGCAGGTCGAATCAAGTATATACAACAGCACGGCAGCAGGTCACATCATCTATATACAACAGCACGGCAACAAGTCACATCATCTATATACAACAGCAAGGCAGCAGGTCGCATCAAGTATATACATCAACGGCGGTAGGTATACATACAACAGCACGGCAGCAGGTCACATCATATATATACAACAGCACGGCAGTA